AAAAAAAAGAGAAGACGACACACATATACGTGTGCGAGGGCAAAAATGAGATGAAGGCTTGTAACAACATTCATCAAGTGCACGTAACTTGTAGCTGTTGGGGTGCATATAACTTGTAGCTGTTAGGATGGTGCTCTATAACAAGGGCACTTGAACAATTTTTTAGCCTATCTCGATAGACCATTTCTTAGCCCACCTCAATAGACCATTCTCTAATATATGTAGAACAAAATTTGAGCCTCTCTTAATAGACCATTATCTGCAATTCCAGCAAGCAAACCAATGGGCTAATTCTCTATCTCTACTCGATGTTGTATTTTTCTCTGTCTAATACATCAAGACTCTGGTGCTTATTATGCGGGTTTTAAGCTTTGGTGCATAGAGCTCAGGAACATTGTAAAAGATATGTCTCTAATATATTAAAACTCTGGTATTTATTGTGTGGGTTCCAAGCTCGGGTGCATAGAGTGTAGGAACATTGCAAAATGCCTCTTTGTTTTCCTGTATCTCGAGGAGGAATTGTCATTCTTATGCACATCAAATATTAGGTCAAATATCATACCTGAAAACAAAAAGAGTTCGAGATCTAATTTTACAAATTCTACCATTTTGTCGCCCCCCATTTTACCCAACCAAACTCCAATAGAATGTCCATAATATGCTCCCTCGAGAGCACACTATACAACATATAAGTGCTTGTTATTACCATATTTCAACCACAAATGACATTTTCCTTCCTGGAGGAAAAACATTTCATCAGGGTTTTAAGTCATTGAGAAATAAAAACCAGACAATGAGAGAGAGACAAAGATCCATAGAAAGAATAATAAGAAATGGAAAGTTTAAATAAAAAGATGAGACAGAGGGAGCTTCCTTTAAGAGAGAGATGCCAATCACTTTGCAAAATGTAGAGTTGATTGTGGGTTCGCTGATTTTGAGGATTAAAAAAGAGATGTAGAGAGAGAGATGCCAATTACTATTCAATTATAAAGTAGATTTAGAATGTGGGTTTTGCTGAATTTGAGGATTAAAAAAGAGATGTAAGAATTGCACGGCACCCCACTGAGCCAGAAAATCACGTGCGAGGGAGACAGGAAGACAGCCTCCATTTTCCTAATATTTAAAGCTTTTGCCAAAAAGTTTGGACCAAAAAACCTTATAAAATGGCTAAAATGAAGCTTGATAAAAAGGTAAGCCAATTATAGTTATGACCTCTATGCCCCCACCAACGAGCCATTAATATCGCAAATGACACTACAAGCAGGAGCTGGGCACACTCTTGGTTCGTGGAAAGGAAGTGCCACTCTTGAATGTTCTAGAAATTGTTGATTTGCACATCTAGATATCATCTAAAAATCAGTGATCTGGATCAGGAATGGGTCTAAGTCGACATAGTTCTTGGGTATTGGTTTGGTAATGGAATTGTTCGATTTGAACCTATCGGATCACCCGATTCCCTCATAGTGTATTTTTCACTTATTTTTTCATTTTATTTTTTCAAATTTTTATTTATTTAGAGAAGAGACACCCTATTATCCAATAGGTCCTCAAAGAACAAGAGAAGACATCTATCACCTATTCCATCTTGGCATCCATTTGGGCCGCATAAATCGATTACAGGCATATCTTCAAAAGTAACAAAACAAACATCATCTTGCTCAAGGATAGAACCAAACCAACAATCATCTTTTCGGACCAGAACTGTAATGAAATCAAGGCCTCACTTGGTGGACCAGCAAAAGAAACACATAATATGGTCATGACCTCATGCAACCTCGAGATCTTCCCCACCGGATGCTACTTGGGCTCACTGTCATCAAAATCAACTTTGATGGCAGCTCCCTCGACTATCTAGGCTTGGTCCGCATTGTACAGCTAAAGAAATCTCAATTTTCTGTAGCCTTTATGTATTTATTAATGGATTTCTATATACGACATCTTCAGGAGCATACGAAGTTCAAGGGGGACAAAATCATTTTCCAAGCAAACATTACAATATTCATGAGAGACAAGACTTATATTTCCAAAAATCAGAATTAATATTGCCCTATAAGCCCAAATGTACATATTGGATTAAACATGGGTCAAGAATTTAGAAAGAAAAGAGTTAAAACAATATTAAGTGGAAGTATATTTACTAGAATTTTTCTCAATATCTTTGTGAGATTTCAATAAAATTGAGACATTTTTCACTCAGAATCTTGAATTATTTGCCTTGATTATTGAGTTTCTCAATGAGATATCCTAGGGCCAAAAGGAAGAATTTCCATGGTATTGTCGCAGTTCTTAGTTTGACAACTGGGAACTACATGGCACTTGGAGTGTGCAGCTCTCGTAAAAGCACGAGCTTCCCATTTAAATGAGAAGGGCACACTTCCCATGGGAAGCTCGCCCAAGGGTTTTTTTTTTTTAAAATAAAATTTGAGGGTTAATTCACTTCATTGGGGAGGATAAAAAAAATTTAAAACTATTTTACAAAAACATGACCAAAATGTCCCTTACATTTCAATAGTATTTTTTATATTTAAATTTTTTATTTAGTATTTTAATATTTTTTATAGGTGCATATGAGTGAGAAGTTTTGATGTCAAAATTTTAGCTCAATTCAGCATATTGGAAAGAATTAAAAAAGAAAATTCTACCATAACTGAAATTTCAAGATTTGAAGACTGTCAAGTTTGTCAAACACAGGTTTCATATTGTAACTTGCTCCCTCAAGAATAAATCCATCTCGGAATTTTTTTTTTTAAAAAAATATTTTAGGTTTGCAACTCCCATTTTTGAAATCCAAAACATACTCTTATGTAGGTTTCTGTCCAAGGGGAGTACAATTTGCTCTCACTCAAACACGTATTTTTCCTGCAAACAAATGTACTTAAGAGTTTCTCTCACAGTATATTTCTTCATAAAGAATATGGTGCAACAACTCCCCCTCCTAAAAAAAGAAAGTAAATTGTTAAATGAAAATTCCAAGAAAAATTCACCAGGTCCAACCATTCTCTCCTTACAAAGAAAAACAAAAAATAATGGAGAGAATGTTAAAGAGCTTACATTCACTTGTTCTACCAAATTTTACACCCAAGTAAAGATTTAAAGATAGTATGATCCTTCCTTGAACAATGTGCACTTCATTCTTTTCCACAATCAGAAGAATGGGCAATTCTTTTGAAAATATGATCCTCAAATCCAAGCCATATGGGTGTCAGTCATGTGGTCCTTGGAAAAGGTCGTCATTTTGTATTATTTTACATTATTTTTACTCAAAATTCGAAGAAAAATGACATTCTACCAGGGTATTTCACTGAAATGTCTTGGAATAACTTCAAATAAATTCAAATTGCATTTCTTCTTTATTTTATTCTGAAATTTCGTTTGCGTTCTGTTTATGGCTAAAACTTCATAAAACCATGACTAGCCAGCCATGGACTCCGTGCTGCTCGGTCATTGGGAATCAAACATGGTATCTCTCTATCACAATGTTATACTTCTAATTTTGCAATATTTCCAAACTCATGCATGAATTTTTGTACTTTATGGGGAAGCATGTCCATTTTACTGGGGAAAAATTCATGTACTACAGTATGTTGAGGATGCTCTAGAGATGTTAATATGTCCATATTCATCTTCACCTAGTTGAAAATGGCACAAATGGAAAACAAGAGAAGACACTTAGTCTAGGGGCAAGGTTGAATTTGTTCGGAGGCACATCCAAGGGTGTTTGATTCTTTTATTTTTATTTTTTATTTTTTATTTTTCCAAAGTTGGTTGCTAGGTTGAATTGATTACATTTTCCAAAATTTAGGGCTTAAAAAATACTCATTCACTGGGTTTTACCCAAGGAAATACATGGAGCAAATATAATCTTTCAACTATCAATATAAAGTTTGGAAAGGGGCTTGGATTGTAGCGGTAGTACACTGACACCCTAGTCACTAAGTTATAGTTTATATTTCCACTTACACCACCCCATTAACATCTTCGAAAAACTAATTCCTAAACTACTTAAAAAAAAGTTGGGTGGGCTTGTCTTCCTCCTGAATTACTAAAAAAACAAAATCAATATAAAGTTTTTAACTTCATGTTTAAAATGAACTTTTATATTTTCATTGAGCACAAACCCAATTCTGCTTGTTTACCTCATATTTTTGGCACATATCATCAAATTTGACCACGATACTCTCAAAAGTGGGTTGATCCTCCAATTAGGAGATCAATTTTGGTGCTTAAATATATTAAGGGAGAAAAATAAAACAAGAGTAGATGGACTAGGTTGTTTAGGCCAGTTTAGTTTGATGTTATTTGGGAAATTATCAAAACTATTTTTATATTTTTTAGTTTTTTTAAAAACAGATTAAAATTTTAAAAATTATTTCCGTATCCAACAAACTTTTTTTAAATATAAAATATATTTCATGGGCTTAATAGGGCCGTGATGCCCAAAGACTTACCTTTAGAACTTCTATTAAGCATCACAGACCTTTTAAAGCCGTAAGGTACCATCATGGCCTATTAAGGCTGTGATGCTCGAAGAACCCATTAGGTAAGTTGGATGCACCAAAAGCAGCCAAGAGGAGATCTTGGACATTACAGCTCTGTTAGAGCCGAGATGGGGGCTGTCATGGTGCATCACACTTCTAAATCTCTAATAGGCCGTGATGCCCAAGGGAAAGCCCTGAGCATCCCCGCTTTAATAAGGCTGCCTTAATAAAGCTGTGAAGAGCATATTTTAGGTAATTTTTATTTAGGTATTTTTGAATTTTAAAAATATAAAAATATTTTTGATAATTTCCCATGTTGTTTCCACAAGCTAAAGCTTTATTCGTTCCAATTTGCTCCAGCGGGAGCACTAACTCATTTCCTTACAAAGTAAGGGATGTTAATGAAATTAGCCTAGAAAGTAAGGGTTATTTCTGTAACTTTATTCCGGCGCCGTACAACCCTTGCTCACCAAGCTTCCCTGTTCAGGTGAAAGGAGTTTTTTTTTTTTTGGTGCACTGTTGCTTCCTTGGCGTATTGGAATCAAAATCCTGCTCCTCTCCACAATTTCACAAGCATAGGTGTTCTCTCTCTCTCTCTCTCTCTCCCTCTCCCTCTCCCTCTAGTTGTCTCTCCCTCAATAGTCTTTCTCTCACTAGAAGGTTTCTCTCTGCAATGGTGTTTTGCTCTCTCTCTCTCCCTCCCTCTGTAGTGTTTCTCTCTCTAGAAGGTTTTTCTCCGTAGTGGTTTCTTCCTCTCTCTCTCTCTCTCTCTCTCTCTCTCTTTCTCTGTGTTTTGGAATGGTTACGAAGGAATCAGGGTTTCAAGCCATGGCTGGGCCGCCGCAGCCTCTCCTTGAAAGGCTCAAGGATTATGGGCAGGAAGACGCTTTTGCCCTCTGGGACGAGCTTTCTCCCTCGGAACGAGAAATTCTCGTCAAGGACATTGAGGTAATTGCCTACCTCTTATATCCTTTTCATCTTTCCCATCCCTGTGTGTTTGTTTCTCGTTTTTAAGGAAATGTAGTTTGATTTAGTTTATAATTCTTCGAGATAATTTACCTGCATTTTCAGGGGATTCTTAGCTATGTCGCATTAATTTGCTTTCCATATGCAGTAATTGTAGCGGGTTTTTTTCAGTATATTCTTTGGCCTTGAGTTTGTTCATATAATGTTTAATTAATGGGTGGTTGATTTTTTTGCGGATTATTGGTGGGTCACTTATTCTCATAATTTTAATAATTAATATTTGTGTTTCTGTTAATGCAGAGCTTGGATCTCCCAAGGCTTGATAGGATCCTTCGCTGCTCTCTTCGATCTCAAGGTGACTGCCCTTGCTACACATTGTCCTCATTTCCTCTCTCCCTCTCTCGTCTCTCTCTCTCTCTCTCTCTCTCTATCTCTCTCTCTCTCTATCTCTCTCTTTCTCTCTCTTGATAAATTTCTAATCTTTTTTGTTTTCTTAGGTCGAATTTGCTGTTTTTCATTTTTATTCAATTTATGTTGATATCTTTTCTCCTTTCCTAATCTGGTTTACTCAATAATTCATTTCATAAATAAATTGAATGTCTTTTAAAGTGAATTATTAGTGTTATTAAATGTGGATTATGATACTACTGAAAATTTACTTTTTTTATTCAACTGAAGTTCGTTAATGTGGGTTTCAGAATCCTGAAAAGTTTTGTATCTCTCCTATAAAGTGATTGCTTTGTAGTAACTCATCATTCCTTTCAATCATTCAATGTCCATATACAGAAATTGTTCACTTTCATGTTGGGATTTTCTGTATACACAATAAGATCTGAAGTTTTATATTTGCCCTTTTTTTTCTCCAATATGAAGGTGTACACTTGTTTTTATTGATGTTACTGTAACAATGGCCTCCTATGTACTTTGTGACTATAAATGACTAATTCCTTTCATTTTATTAACTTATAGGGCTTCCTACACCTGCCATAGAGCCTGTGTCAGAGGCTAATGTTTCAACCATCGAAGAAAGGACAATGGAGGAGAGAGAAAGGTGGTGGAAGATGGGTTTGAAGGCTATCTCAGAGGGGAAATTGGCTGTGCTTCTTTTGTCTGGAGGCCAGGTGATGCCTTTTTTCCTTGCAATTCCTTTTTTGGTACTTTAATGGCTTAAGAACTTGTCTATGTATAATAAAATAATTGCTTAACTTATTTGTTTATTTATTTATTTTGATGGGTTACTATTGGAACTTCTTATGAGAGTTCAATATTTGATGCTTTTGCTAATTTTAGATGGCAGAATATGATATACTTACTTTTTTGATGATTTCATTCATTTTGGATGGGCTAAACTCTAGGGTAATTGAATACTCCTACTAGTACTTCACCCGGAAAATGAAATTTATAATCATAGACAGCAGTCGAGCTGCAGAGATATAGGTGATAAAGGAAAGATCACAATCTCAAATAGTAAAGATCTGTGGGCAATCACTAGGAGAGTTACATAGATCCAACCTCTTGTTTCTCCGCACGTATTGGTCATTTATATGCAGAGCTATGTACATAATAAAATTGATACCTTATCAATATCCATTTTCTATTTGATTTTTGTCAACAAGAATAACCCCATCTTTTCAAGACACCACCACCCTCGTCTATAAGAAAATGCACCATGAAAGCCTGCAACTTCCATCGCCCTCTTCCTCTCTGCTGGAATGACATCTATGACTTGTATCCCAAAACCCATCTTCACCCCCTCAATCATGGCCCAACAATCTCTCCTACTCCTCAACCCATTACCAAACCCACTCTGTTGGCCTCATCGCACACCCCCAAAACTTCGTTTGGTAAAGTAGTTTCCTCATCTAAACCTCCTACCTGTCCCCCTCCCTCTCCCTCCTTGCCCCCCAATAACTCTTCCCGCTCCTCCGCCTGCTCTCCCTACCTCCCTTTCTGCATCTCCTCTCCTCGGGAAGATACAAAGAGAACAGATCTAATCTTCAGGCGTCTTTAGTAGGTACTTTCAAACCTGGATGCGACGATCAAAGAGGGATTGAAAGATGGGCCATGAGTCTTTGGAAGGAGCCTAATCCGGTCGTGGTCGCCTACAAGAAACAAAGAATTTGGCTCATTCTCTACCATGTTCCCCTTCACGCATGGTCACCTGAAACCTCTCGGAGAGTGGCAGCAGCCTGTGGCTCTCTTGTCTCTATTCATTGGATCTCTCTGGAAACTCTACCTTTGGGCTCCATACGATTACTACTGGAGGTTCTAGACGCTAGTCGAATCCACAATCAGTCTGGCTCGAGGTGGAAGATCTCTACTATCGAGTCTCTATCTCGTGGTCGTCGGCTTCGCCTCCCTCTTCGCAGTTTTTTTAGCATGCCGACCGTTTTCCATCACTGGAAACCTTAGCCCAGCCCTGGTGTTTGTTGACTAGGAAAAAGCGTCACCAGAAGCGACATCGTTGGCGTCCACCTGACCCGACCCATCCCTTGATGGGCTCCCTGGGGAAATAGCCGTAGACGAGGTCAGTCTGGCACTCGCGGGAAAAGTCTCCTGATTGATCCAAGCAAAAGGATACTGCCTCAAATCTTTTTAGGAAGCATTACGACCCGCTACTCTCTGACCCGAACACCTTTGAAACAGTCGCAACCGGGCTCCCTTTCGACGTCTCTCTCCCTTTGTCTCTCTCCCTTTGTCTCTCTCCCTCTCTCATCGACCCGGTAAAGATGTCTTGGTTGCCGCTACCCCTTCACCTTTCTCTCCTGGCCCACAAGATCGACCCGACCCTTCCTACTCTACTGCCCCATCTTGTCCTGTATCTCCCTCTTCCTTTACCCCAGGCCACGCCATGTGTACCCTCGAGCCCTCCACCTGTTGCCTACCCTGGCCCCGTCCTCTCAACTCCTGCCACAGCCGCCTTGCATCCCTCTCTTGTCACAACAACTATCTCCCCCCCCACAGGTGTCGCCTTATGTGTCCTGGTCGGAGCCAGTGCCAATTAATGCTCCGCTGAACGTCCTTGCCCCCGAGCTTCCCCCACTGCCCCATCCGGCCTCCCAGCCTTCACCACCTGTCCCCCAACCCTTCCGGCCTTCGACCTCTTCGCCTCCACTGTCCATCTCTCTTACCACCTTCTCTGCTCCATCTCGTCAAGACGATGACCTCGACCTTTTCGCTTCCCCTTCTCCCTCTAATCCCTCTATTCCTATGCTTCCTTGGAGCGACCTACCCCTTCCCCCTCTGTACTCAACTCCCTGAACTCCTCCACCCCGTTGAACCACTCCACCGGGACCATTTCTGGCCCCTCCCCCGCTTCCGCCCTCTCTCAAAACTCCGGTGAATAGGACCCTTACACCCCTTCCCCGTCTCACTGTGACTTTGACCTTTCCTCTCTGGCCCCCCAACCCCCCCCTTTCGACTAACCTCACCTTTGTTGACCACCGCTGGCCCCTCCCATTTTCCTCTCTCCCTCACTTTCTACCCTCTTAATCTCACTGAACTTCTCCAACCTGGCCTAGAAGCAGAAGCTGCCGGTCGGTAACCCATCCAATCTGATTACCAACAATGACCTTATTCCTATAGGTATAGTCGCTGCTCTTACAATGGATCACACCCCCCTTGACCTAGCTTCGATCTCGAACCTGCTTGCACCCCATCTCTCTTTTACCCCTCACCTTGTACACATTCGCAGTGTTCGCACTCTGCATGTTGCCTAGGCCCCCTCTTCCCTGTTCATGTTCTCCACCTACTCCTCGCTTCAGACACACCACTTTCTCACTTTCCTCCCTTCCCTCTCTTTTGCTTACCCCCCTCAAGCTCCCTTCCTCCCTAACCCTATGACCCAACCCCAACCTTTGACCCTCACCTCCAACAGCTTAACTTTCTACCCTCGGCATCTTCGCCCCCCCGCTACCGGACACTCCTCCAGATACTCGCTCGCCCCTTCCTTTCCTTCTCCCTGACCGCTACCCCCCAGTTGGCAGTTTTGGAAACTGAGCCCCCCAAGACCCCAACCTTGGCTGAACCCATGGCTGAGCCCCCAGAGATAGTTTCGGAATCCATCTCTGCCTCTCAGGCTGGCGACGACACTGAGGAGGTCGACAGGGATGGGGATAACAGGATAGAAGATAGAATGCGAGAGATGTACATATTGATGGGATTCGAATATGAGGGATCTGAAGGACAGGCTCACAGATTCATTACAGCGGATGCACAAAGCAGGATGCAGGTGAGATTCAGAGGTCAGAGAGAGCTTTGCAACCTCTTTTCCTCCCTAAACTTCGTTGGGAATCCAGTAGAGTGTCGCCCCTCTCCTCTCACCACGGACTGCTCAAGGAGGTTTCCCAGACTGGCCTCCTCCTCCTCACTCATCTCTAAAAGATGAAGCTGCTTGTTTGGAATGTTAGAGGACTAGGACAATCCTCCAAAACGGATGTTGTCAAGGACCTTACCTCCAAACTCTCCCCTACGATTCTAGCCTTACTTGGAACCAAACTTTCAGAGCCTAACCTTCGTCTGATTCACCAGGTTTGATGTAGAAGACCTTGCCAGTGGGTCTCTCTACCTGCAAATGGGGCATCATGAGGTATTTAGGTGTTATGGGACCCTTCTGACCATACCCTAAACTCCTCCTTTATAGGCGAATTCTCTGTTACTTTACTCCTTTCTAGCAACCAAGATGGGACCCCATGGAAATTTTTGGCTGTTTATGGTCCAAACTCTTCCTCCCTCAAGAATAGGTTGTGGTCAGAACTGGATCACGTTGCATCCCTACCACACCCCATCTGGTGTTTGGGAGGTGACTTTAACGTCATCCCTTGGTCTTACGAGAGAAACTCCCCTACTTCCTTCTCTCGGGACATGAGGCATTTCTCTGACTTTATCAGCAAAAATGATCTCCTTGATATCCCCCTTCAAGGCTGTAAGCATACTTGGTTTAACCATGCCTCTCGACCCACCTGCTCAAAATTAGACAGATTCCTCCTTTCTTTGAACTGGGAGGAGCACTTTCCAGGCTCCTCATTATTGGCCCTTCCCAAGCCACGTCGGACCACCGTCCCATTTTGCTTGATTCTAATGCAGTCAAGGGGGGTCCCAAACCCTTCAGATTTGAACTCCACTGGCTTCAAGAGGAGTCTCTACATACTCTTGTCCAAACCTGGTGGAACTCCAACTCCTCAAATCCTCTCTCAAAACTTGGAGTCGATCCAGACCTAGTAACTTCTCTCTGATCAAGTCTTCTCTTTTAGAGACTATTAATAAGATTGATCTTCTTGAGGAATCCAGACATCTCAATGCCTTAGAGCAGGACCTCAAGCCGAGGTCAAAACTGGAATACCCCTCCTCCCTTAAAAAAGAAGAGATCTATTGGTTCTAGAGGTCAAGAATTACCTGGTTGAAAGCGAGGGACCAAAACACTGCCTTCTTTCATCAGATAGCTAATTGTCGTTGGAGAGACAACACTATCTCAATGATCAAAGTCAACAACCGCTATCTTTCTCAACCAGAAGGCATAGAGCTGACTATTATAGAGTTCTTCTAGACTCTATACACTGCTCACCCTGGTCCCAGACCAAGGCTGTCATCTCTTGACTTCTTAACCCTTTCAGAAGAACAAGCTGTATGGCTAGAGAGACCCTTTTCAGAAGATGAAATTAAACAAGCTATCAATACTCTAGCCAAAGATAAGGCCCCAGGCCTTGACGGCTTCCCAATTGCTCCTTTTAAGGCCTTCTGGGATACCTTCCGTCATGACTTCCTCAAGTTCTTCGAGGAATTCTTCTTACGGGGTACACTTCACAAAGCCTTGAACACCACCTTCCTAGCACTCGTCCCTAAAGCAGAGGGGGCTGAGGAAATCAATGACTTCCGTCCTATCAGTCTTCTCAATTCCTCATACAAGACTCTGGCAAAAGTTCTCGCTTCCCGACTGCAACTTGTCCTCCCATTATCTCATCGTCACAATCTGCCTTCATTAAAGACAAGCAAATCCTCGAAGGGGTCTTGGTGGCCCATGAGTGCATCCACTCAAGGCACCGAGAGAAAAAACCTGGGCTTATCTTCAAAATTGACTGGGAGAAAGCCTATGACCATGTTGACTGGTTAATCCTGGAAGAGTCGATGATCAGAATGGGTTTCGAGGATAGATGGAGGAAATGGATGAGAGGCTGTTACACTTATCCACATTTTTCTATTCTTATTAACGGAGCCCCAAAGGGATTCTTCCCGTCCTCGAGGGGCCTTCGCCAAGGTGACCCCCTCTCCCCCTTCCTGTTTGCTATAGTGGCGGAAGTCTTTAGCCGCTCTATTTCTTGGCTTTATAAGGCAAGTCTTCTTTTTAGATTCAGGAGCAGTAGACATGGCCCAACGGTGTCTCATTTGCAATATGCAGCTGACACGTTGGTGTTCTTAGATGCCTCCTCCAATGAAGTGGACACCTCAAACTTTTCCTAAGTTGCTTCCAAACAGCAATTGGGTTCAAAGTCAATATGGGTAAATAAAAATGCTAGGTGTAGCAATGACAAATGTAGAAGCTAGATCACTGATTCTGACCTGGAAGTGTAAAGTGGAGGACCTCCCAACTACCTATCTAGGCCTTCCATTGGGTATGGGGAAACCCAAGAAGAGGCAATGGTCTCATGTCCTAGCCAAGGTAGACAAACGTCTGGCAAGGTGGAAAGGCATGTTCCTCTCAATGGCCGATAGATCGACTTTGATTAAAGCTACATTAGCAAACTCCCCGGTGTTCCTAATGTCCCTCTTCCATATGCCAGCCCAGGTGGCCAACCGCCTGGACCAACTCATGAGGAACTTCCTATGATCAGGACAGGCTGACAAGAAGAAGTTTCATCTTATAGCATGGGACAATATCTGCCTACGCAAACATCAGGGAGGTCTAGGAATCAGAGTCCTTCGAAAACATAACTTGGCACTCCTAGGGAAATGGTGGTGGCATCTAGCCACCCAGCCCAATGCTCTGTGGGCCCAGGTACTTAGGAAAAAGTATAAAATCCCAAAAGGAGCCTGGCTGCCAGAAAAAAGCTAGTCGCATAACGCTTCCGGAGCCTGGAAATCCTTTTCCTTGGTCTTTGTTCAGTTCAAAAGGTATGTAAGGTTCCATCCTAGGGAAGGTTCCAGGGTGAGATTCTGGTCAGACCTATGGTTGGGAAACTCCCCTCTACGAGAGGTATTCCCTGCACTCTATTCGCTTGCTCTAAACAAAGATTCTACCGTGGCTGAAGAAATGATCTTGTTAGGAGGGCGTAGAGTTTGGAATCCTTCACTCCGAAGGAAGCTAATAGATGAGGAAAACAGTCAATTCTTGTTGCTCTCTTCAGCCCTGCACTCTCTTTTCATCTCTCCTCTTGGCAGAGACGCAATAGTTTGGACCCTAGCTGCCTCTGGTAAGTTCTCGGTAGGATCCTTTTACAAGAGCTTAACTCTACCTCCTACTTTCCCGGGGAATCCTCAGTTCTGTCTAAAGTTTGGTCCACCTTAGCTCCAGCCAAGGTTCTGACCTTCAACTGGCTCGTCGGCTCTCATAGAGCCCTCACGGTGGACCATCTCCAAAAGAGAGGGGTCCAAATCCTTAATAGGTGTGCTTTATGTCTATGCTAGGAGGAATCCAATCCACATATTTTCATTCTTTGCAACTTTACTTATGATCTTTGGGGTAAAGTCTTGCAACAATTTGGCATCAAATGGTCACCCCTCCCTCGGTCAAGGCCTTGATTTCTTACGACTTCGACTTTTGTTGCCCAAAGGCCTGAAGAATTCTTTGGAAGGCAACAATAGCTGCAACCATTTGGACAGTTGGGGCGGAAAAAAATAATAGAATCTTCCAAGGTAAAAAACTTCACACTTTTGCTCTCCTTCACATGGTGAAGTCTTTGGTAACCTTCTGGACCTCTAACCATAAGGTTTTTTCAGGCATTCTTGGAAGCCTGTCCCCCTCTCAATGGAAAAACATCCTCAATCATCAACCAAGGCTGGATACTAGACCTAACAACTGGCAACCACGGTTGTTCCCTAGGGAACCCAGGCCCGACAGGGCAAGGGGGGGTCTTCAGAGACCACCAAAGCAACACGCTCCTAACATTTTCGGTGCACCTTGGCCTTATGGCCTCCAATCATGCAGAAGCCTTGGCCCTCCTCCTAGGCTTGAAAAACTTCAATAGTTCTTGGGGTCCGCACCTCATAGACTCTCAAAATGTCATCTCATTGGCAAGCAAAGCGTCTTCTTCACCATGGCACCTAACCTCTATCTTTGATGAAATCGATCACATTTGCAGGGCTATGTACGTCTCCTGGAAGCATATATGGAGGATGTCCGACGACTCCGAGGATCAACTAACGAAAGAAGGAGCTAGAAGCCAAGGACAAGCTCAAGCTGGGTCCAACTCCTTTTTTGCTCTAGACTGGCATACAATCTAATACCTTTGTATACTGGCATTTTTTGGCCCTGCTGCATTTTTTGGAAGCGTTTTTTGGAAGCTCCATGTATATCGATGTAATTGGGCAACTCTATAAGCCTTTTTGTATAAGATAGTCTAAACGCATACTTTGCCGAGACCCCCTGCGTGGGTGTCCTCAGACTTTCTTACCCATGTAATCTTTCTCCCCAGTAATACAATGTTAACTTTTCTTAAAAAAAAAATAACCCCATCTTTTCATCCAACTCTATAAGAGGAGCCAAGGGATATAGGATCTATTTGTTTTTCAGTAATGCCTGCACTTATTACATTATTTTAAACGTAGTTTACCCTAGTTTACTTAACATCTATGAAATGGAGGTTATGGAGCATGTTCTCAAACTAATACCTGGTTTTGATAGGCCAGGTGACACCCACTCACTTTTACTATTATATGTTGTTATGAGAACTTGTGTTAGGGTTAAAATCTTGTTCTTTTATAGGATTCACAGAATTCTATGTGCGATCCAAATCCATATGTTTCACCATTCCTCATATTAATACTTATTTCATCTCCTTATAGTAACGCAATATTGTCATAAATTAATTTATGTATGATATACCTATTGTTGAAAAATGGGTTCCTTGGAGAAAAACTTGGAGCATCTATCCTATGTTGCCATGAATATTATGAAAGTGCCTGCTGAAACTCTCAAAATTTTAAAAGAATTTGCGGAAGCATGCCATTGGTTTGGGTAATTGGCAAATGAAATAAATGGACATCCTTACTCCTTTTAAATTACATAAAAAATTATAACTCTGCAAGTATTGAATTAAGTTTTATGTTTTGAACTCTATAAATCCAAATGGGCTGGTGAGGCTTCAAGTCTATATTTTTCAGATTTTCTCTTGGCTTAATGGCTTTATTGTTTGTTTATACTTATACCCCGTAATATCTCATGTTGGATAAACAAATCACTGCTTAAAGCCTTCTTTAATGTATCCAAGGGGTATGCACTCAATTTGGCTGAAAAAATAAAGTAAGAGAAGAATTATGAACATCTCTCCACATTCTGATTCTTTTTTAATTACAAATATGATTATGGACAGAACTATCTTCTATTAGGGCTATATATTACAAAAGAAAAATAAAATAAAAATAAAGGCGTAGAACACCCTTATACTAGTACCATTATCCCGACATAGCCCTTAAGCTGATAGTGTATAAATATAAATTTTTCCAGGCTTGGTTTTATATGCTCTATATACCTTGTTCTATATAATTTCTTCCCGAGGCCTATATCTACATCTCAGCTTGCTGATCTTTAGATTATACATATAGTGTGTGTGTTTCTTTAGCCTTAAACCTTCTTATTACCCAATGACAGTGAACTTTTACTGGCTTGGTCTTCTCATGGAAGACCGAATTGGGAGCTATATGCCTGACTACTGCATGGTCACATCACATGTCCATGGAAGATTGACCTTAAAACTAACCTTTTACAAAGGTGTACATAGCCACTTCAACTCACATATGGTGTGAACTCTTGCCCTATACTTTGCCATTGCATTACATCTTGCAACTAGGGATGGCTTCTTATCCTTGTAGAAGAACAATAGCCTGAAGTCAACCTCCTTACACTAGCTCTTGCTACCACAGATTATTATGTTGGAATCAGTTTGAAATGGTCAGAATACCATTATGAGTTTACAATGATTAGAACATTAAAACTAAAATGACAGTTATGCCGTTAATAAGGAAAAACAAATTATAGGAAATGCTGTCCCTATATGGAATTGCCTTCTAAATGTTGATTGCTTTCATAATTGTTGATTTTTGCAAGCAAAAAAACTGTTAAATGTACTTTTCTTTTTTACCAATGTCTTTTGATTTGATCTCAAAATGCTCATAAAAAACACCATCTTGAGTTGGAATAGTTGCAATAAGTATATATATATATATATATATTCTTTTCTTTTGGTGGGTAAACTGGTATTAAAACTGGGATTGTAGTGTTGCAGGTTTTACACCTGAACCACTAAACATGATGCCAGATTCGTATGACATGCTTTGTTACTTTATTTACTTTATGTTTCTTAAATTCTTCTCTCTTAATCATTTATCTTATTTTTTCCTATACCTTAGGGTCCACGCTGTGTGCTCTATATTTGCCGTCCCAAGTCTTCCATGAGAGATATTAAACCAGTTTCTTATATTGAAACTTGATTTATTACAGGGTACAAGGCTGGGAAGTTCAGATCCTAAGGGATGCTTTAGTAAGTAAAACTTAACAGATATGTGAATTCTTTCCTAGGAAGTTTTGTATTATCTGACTTGCATACTTCTGGTCAAATCCAAGTAAATTATGTTGTAATGCATTTCTATGCTATTTGTGTATGTCTGTTTAAGTGATCAGGCATGTTTAGTGCATGCTATGCATTGTCTGCGACCGCGTACTCATTAACTACATTGGCATATTCTTGTTATGTTTGTGTTGAATTGTTGCTATTCAGATATTACTTGTCCGCTAAAATTTCTCCATGTATTTCACTTCTATCTGTGCACATTTGATGATGTCTGGTACAATTGTTTTTGTCTTTCCCCTGATTGAGTGACAATGGTGAGAGAATGTGTTCTGTCCTTGGGTTTGCAGGGGAATTCACCCCAAAGCTTAAGAGATTGAGTCACAAGATCCAAAAATCAAATTTTCTTTCCTCCATTTCTTGTCTAAACATGCATATTTATAAATAGAAACCCTAACACCTAACTCACTCCTCAAGAAACCCTATTCACTATAAAATCCTAACCCTTCCTCTTTTAAAAATTACTTTCAACTCTATTGTTCAGTTCTCTACACCAAAAGAAAGAAAGAAAGAAAGAAAGAAAGAAAGAAAGAAAGAAAGAAAGAAAGAAAGAAAGGCATAGATACCATAAAACAAAGCTAAAAACCCTCAAACCTAATTTCAATCTCTTAAAAATAATAAAATAAAACCGGAAGAGCATCATTATCCTGAGGTTGGAGAAGCTCGTCCTCTAGCCTAAGGAATGAAAATTTTTTCCCTCCTTATCTTCTTGATTTTGTTCCAACTAGATGTTTTCATCCTTCCCAGTCAAATTTTGATTGTTGGACTTTAATCTAACAAAGTTTCTTTTTTCTTTTATTCTAAAAAAACAATCTAACAAAGTTTTGATATGCCTGGAAAATTGACTACAATGCCAAATTCTTTGCGCCTTCTAACCCGTGTATTTCATGCCTTACAATTAGATCAACTTCTTGATCATGCTTTCGTGTTTGATTCATAGTTTGATTAACGGTTGTATTTTGTTTTCCTCATCTTCATATTCTTGTTTTAGTAGTTCTTGTAGGGGTCATTTGGATACCTGTATTTCTATTACAGGGAAATAGATTAAGGAAATACACCATTTCTAGTGTTTGGGTACGCACATAATGAGCAGGAAATAAAACACATTAACCAAAATTTCCTCAAAAATCGTGAAGTCTATTACCCACCCCAATAGGTAAAAAATGTATTTCGGGGGTTGACGGGTAATATGAATTCACGGACCCGTTAGAAATCATTAGACGTGTCTAAAGAATTTGAAGTCAGCCTCTCTCTCTCTCTCTCACTCAAAAGACTCATGTGCATTCCACATGGCTATCAAAGACTCTCTCTCTCTCTCTGATGTTGCCATCAAAAGTTTCTCTCTCTCTAACACGTATCTTCTCATACTATGAAATCTTGACCGTTGATTTCTCATGTGCCCATTACATAAATGTTTTATAGTCTCTCTAACAGCGTGTTACCATTAAAAAAACACACACACTCTCTCTCTAACATCGTGTGGCCATCAAAAGACTCTCTCTATATATGAGAACAAGCAAAGGTGGCTAAAACATCCGTTTTCTTTTTTGATGAAATTGTCTGAATATATTAAGTATAAGATGGTATACAAATTGTCCACCATTAGTTGGATAAAAATGCCTATATACTGTGTCCAAATTTGTACATGAAAATAGAGAATAACAGGTGCAACTAAATTTTCATCTTTTTTCTCTCTGGTAATTTAGGCCATTACTGGTTGATTGGTCTTTTTTTGGTCTGGTTTTCAAAAGCATGAAAAGGAATATAAAATAGAAAAAAAAGATCCTTGAAATTTGAATGCTATAGTTGTGACACCATTCAGGGAGAAGGATAAATTAACCCATGTGGGTATTGCCTTCAAATATTAAAAAAAAAGTAGTTTTCTAATTTCTATATTTTCATGTACAAATTTGGATCTAATTGCATCTAGATACTACCCTTAAAACTTATTTGCTCCTCAACAAACCTATCACTATTAAATCCTACAATTACTTTCAACTCTACTCTTCAATTCTCTTCAACAAAAAAAAAAGGCAGCATAAAAGAAAATTAGCCCCAAACCTAATTTTAATCTCTTAAAAAATAATAAAACAAAAAAATAAACTTAGGTGTCATATCCATGTGGAATATAATATTTTAAATATATATAATATCGCAAAAATTTAAGATCACCAATGCCTTTCCTCTTTGATTCCAAGTTTCCAGATTCATTTAGACAATAATGCCTTATTTTATCAAGTTTATATTATGTAAAGACCCAAGCGAGGTTGATGTATCCCCAACCACTAGATAAGTTGGAGTGTGTTCCTCTTGGCCCCACCCTTCAATACATAGTGTTTGTGTATGCTTAGGAATTTGTTTGCGTAGGAACTTTGAATTTCTATACATTTACACTAATAGATATGAAAACATGCCTACATGAACTTTATTATTATGCAGCAAGTCCCGAAACATATGATGCTACTTTTTTAGCTAAAAGTTTTTGTAACCTCATTGCTCTTGATCCCATTGCAGGCCCAGCGCAAAGGGGTCGACCTAGGTATGTAATTGGAAGGTCCTCAACGGTGACCCCACATCTTGAGCAACATTCCCAAACTATCTTTGTAACGACCCCCATAACTTTTGTTTTCTTCAAGTTCACCTTTTGCCCATAAAAAATCTCAGAATACCACATCATAAATCTTATTGCTCGAATCTGATAGATCTAAAGTCCCCTTAAAATTACTCATTCAATGGTGATCCTTGACATACCTTCACCCCAGGTATGACCCTCTATCCAGCCTAAAGCTGCGCTTTCCTAAGGTTCATACTCAGATATTCTACTAGGATGGTAAACATGAGTGGAGTTCAAGGATCTCCTTGTCTTAGGCCTCTAGTGCTTTCAAAATAATTCTGTGTTTCTATTTGTCATGATTGAGAAGGAGCTGCCCCCCCTAGTTTCATTATTCTAGTGCTTAAAATTATTTTCTTATTGAATCCCTAAAGAAATCCAAATGTTGCAATTTCCATGTTACAAATTATTGGGTTTATGTTTCATTATTCCTGCTTTCTGTAGCATTAAGGCGAAAGATTGGTCATCCTCCCCCACCTCTCTTTTCTCCTTTTCTTCTCTCTTTCTCCTTCCTCTTTCACCCCACACTCAGCTCAACTATTTCTGTTTTATCTTTTAGAATCTATGAATTTTCAATACCCTCCCAAAACCCACCCCTACTGCAACTATTACTGTTTATCTTTTAGAGTTAATGAATTTTCAATATTGTGGTCCAAATATCCATGCATTTGATTAGTTTGGCTGATTGGAAAAGTGAGAAGGCCTGTTTGGCAGCTTATAAATTGAATATTATAAAATCTGGGGAATACTAGGTGATTTATAAGATATCATTATTTTCTAATGATAGAAGTTTAATATCTGCTTACTGTGGGCAATTTTCGTTTGATGGTGAAATGACATTATAAAAATAGAATAAAAAATAATGCAAATCTAAGGGAGGGAGGGAGGGTCACTCTAATAATAGATGTTATTGAGGTTCACTCTAATAATAGATGTTATTGATTGGGAGATTGCAAATTTATTGAGGTTCACTGTAATAATAGATGTTATTGATTGGGAGATTGCAAATTTATTGAGGTTCACTCTAATAATAGATGTTATTGATTGGGAGATTGCAAATTTATTGAGGACTATGTTTTTTTTCTTCATATAGAATTTCCAATCTTTGGGTGTCCTCTGTAGTGAAAGGAAATATCACGGAATCTCTCGTCCCGTCATGCATGACCAAAGAATAGGTCCATGTTGGCAGGTCTCCCCAGCATGTCTCGAGCACACTGGTGATAAAGATTGTCTAGTTGTTACTCAGAAGTCAGAACATTAATCCACAAATTCACGAGCTTGAAATGCTGACTCTTAGTTGGATTGACTTCACTGGTTTCATATGATGCACTTCTACTTCCAGCCACTGATTGAAGTGTCAATCATCTTATGTCATTTTATATAGGGAATCTCATGCATCTTTTACATTACTATTGCATGCTTAATATGCTGCTGACTTTGAAGGCATTTTTCTCTTAGTTAGTTCATTACTTCTTACTGTTATTTAGGTTTTCCTTTTTACCTTTTTTTCTCTAGATATTGGACTTCCATCAGGGAAATCATTGTTTCAACTTCAGGCTGAGAGAATTTTGTGTGTTCAGAAACTTGCAGCTCAGTCTGTTGCTGATGGTGAGTTATTTCAGTAATTGTTGGATGCTTGTTACTTGATATCCCAATATCCTTGTTTGATGTGTTTCCTTGCAGGCGCAGGTGGTTTTGTTCCAATACATTGGTACATAATGACAAGTCCATTTACTGATGAAGCAACACGCAAATTTTTTGAAAGTCATAAATACTTTGGTTTAGAAGCAGATCAAGTGAGCGCAAGCCCATCCATTCTTTTCTAGCATTTGGGTTTCCTTTTTATTTTGTGACTATAATATTTGCATTGCAGGTAACATTCTTCCAACAAGGGACTCTACCTTGTGTCTCAAAGGATGGCAGGCTTATTATGGAAACTCCTTTCAGTGTAGGGTTCCTTTGTTTCTCTCATTGCCTATGTCATTATTATGGGTTTGAAATCTTCATTTCTAATGGTTACTAACTTTCTTGGTTCCTCTACCTTCGATGAGTAATCAAATTCTCTAAAATTACTTACAGGTTACTACTGATACATTGTCACATCTAAACTGCAGAATGCAGTTTGCAACACCTAATTTTTCTCCCAAAGTCTCGATCTTTCTGCCACTGTGTTTGCCATTCTATGCCCAGGAATCAATCCCATGATACCTTACTCTTTGTATGTTTGTAGTTTCATGTCATCCATGGAACAAAGAAAAGCATGGTTAGGGGGGGCAGAGGCCTCAACATAACGTCCCACCGTCCATTCCCACCATTAACATATCCAAAGTTTCAAAACAGAAAAAATAAAAATGTACAATGACTTTGCTTATCCTCCCACTCCACTAATTAATGCACATCTCACACAACTGACCCAGCTGTGCGTCTATACTGCCCCAATCCAAGTGAGAAATCAGTAATGGAGGAAATTTGGGTAATGTCTTGTGTATGTGACCGGCAATGGAACAACTTGGATAATATCACCTCCTCATTAGGTTAACATTATCAAATAAAAAAAACAAAAAATATCACCTCCTCAGTCTTTCCAACAGATCTTCAATCTAATGTGGTTATGACGTTTCTTGTAACTCACTGAGATGGGAGAATGGCCTACCACAAGGATTTAATCGTAGGGAGAAGTTTAGTCTAACTTTTGTATCATAGACGCCAATTCAGTCTGTTCTTCTTTAGACAATTGTTGTGAACCCTCTTTGTCTTTTGCCTTCAAGGCCCCCTCCCCCATGAATCAATCAAGATGCTTTGTATTTCCTTATGGAACCTTGAGGATCTTTTATAATCCAGAGAGAATAACAAGGTTGTCAACTTCGTTAGTGCCTTTGCGTGTTCTTTTACACCAACTAGTTAATCCTTTTGGGCCTTCAGCGAATTCATGGTTGTGGAGGCTTTGAAAAGCTCCTCCGTTTTAGTCATCCATGTGGCTCCCAAAACCCCACATTTTCATTCCAAAGAGATGGTAACCATGAACTACCGTCCTTAAATCTTAAGGGTGTTCAGAATTGGGTCATGTTGGCATTTGTATTGTCATTCATGGTGTCTTCTTTTGTGAATAAGCTAACATGTCTTTGGTCGTGTTTTACCGGTTGTAGTCTTGCTTGTGAATATCTGGGTAGCATTTAATTCCAAGCTATGCAAATAACCAAACAGGATAAATTTATTTCCTCACTTCAGAATTGCTTTTTTAAGTCAGATGTTGCAACGCATTCACCGCATACTTTTGGAAACAACTGGGATGAAGGCATTAAAACAGCTTTACCCTTTATATTTGGAAAGCTTACCATGTGTTGCCACCTATATGTGACTGCTATTCTCAGTAGTCTGATATAGAGGGACGGCTAGGATGGCTTCATTACAATTCATGCCTGAAACCAATTTTTTTATATATTTTTTCTACAAATCATCTTGTCATGAAATTTAGGGTTACTGACTCCTTGTTGGGGTGCACCCAACAAAAAATTTTAAAAGATATTTTTGATAGAAAAACCAAAATACAAGTTATAGGGGCCATCACTTGGTGTGACGGTAAAATGCTCGGGAAGCTAGCTCAAGAGTGCAGGTTCGAGTCTTGAGAGCGGCCATTTTGTACATAAGCCAAAGGTTAGGACCGTTTCCCGCTCACCCCTTCCGAGACCCTGCGTAGGCGGGTCCAACACCGGGTTACGGCCCTTTACAAGTTACAAGGGTGTTTTGGTCATTTGTCTTATCAGATTTTTTTTTTTGTGAGTTGTGTGTGCCCCTGTGACAAGAGGGCCCCCTCCAAATTTCATCTCAAAATGATTTGTAAAAAAATATTAAAAGTCTAATCCTTTGAGCCATCTAATCAAGATCAAAGGCTGACATGTAACATGATGACTGAAGCTATCCCAACTGGCCATTTAGATCGGACAGCTGAGAATTGCAGTCACATGCTTTATATGTGGGTGGCACCACATATAAAGGTTACATACTGTTGTCACATTTGATTCATGTTTAGTATGAAATATTGTTGTATATTATGATTGTTTAATTGATATATTGATTTTTCATCAATGAAAAGATTGCTTGTGGTTATCTTTTGTAATGCTTAAGTTTGCTTGGTCTACTCGAATGACAACATGCTTATGCACCCTAGTCTCGTGAACCCAGGTGGCCAAGGCTCCAGATGGAAATGGAGGCGTTTATTCTGGTAAAATCTTTTCTTTTGCCTGGGATATGTCTCTCCATGTTGTGTCTCGTTAAATAGTATCATGATGACCTTCAGTTTAATTTTTGTTGTCCAGCTTTGAAATCTTCGAAGTTATTGGAAGAAATGGCAATGAGAGGGGTGAGATATGTGGATTGCTACGGTGTTGACAATGCACTGGTGAGAGCTTCTCTTTTACTGGTGCATCTTTTTGATACATTGGTCAGCTCACTATTCAGTAATTATATTTAAGAATATGACCTTTAATATCTTGGAATCAGGTACGCGTTGCAGATCCAACCTTTTTAGGGTATTTCATAGATAAAGGCATAACAGCAGCAGCGAAAGTTGTCCGCAAGGTAAGGAGTTATTGTAATGTGATTATCTATACAATGTAAGAAAATATTTTACTAATACTTGGTTTGAATTCTTGTGAATGACGCCTGCTTCTGTTCTTTTAGGTGTTTCTGGAAGTCCTCTGATTATGACATGCAAATCAAAATGGTTCTTCCAATGATAGCAAATGTGCATATACCTTTTCTTTAACCTTTGTAATTGTTACGCTTCCGCTGCTCTACTGTCTGGTCCTTTAATATTTAAAGGAAAAGACACCTTTTTCATTTTTCTGTGGAAAGGCTTGGCTTATCAGAAGTTTCCTTGCTCTTGTTATACATTTTTCTGTAGAGATTTTGTTTAGGTGACGCTGGACAAATCTAATCCTGCAGAACTAAAGGCCAATCTTGTTCTTGGCTAAAGAGCACTGGGATGATACCTAAGCAATAGAAATTATCCTGAATTACAGCATATTAGTAAGGCAAGACAATAGCACATTGAGCCTGACACCGAGTGTTCTAGTTCTCCCTTAAATTTCTCCTTCTCATGAGTGATTAATGGGTTTAATTATTGGGATCTCTGATTTATGCATCCTTTTGCTAGTTAGTGTTTTAACATTTCTTAGTTATAATGTATCATTCCAGCATATTGTGCATGTGTTCTGATCCATTGGTGGTTGTCTTCTTGGAATCTTACAGTTTTTTTGATGGAATTGGCATTATCCTATTTCTGGTGGTTGTGATCGGAGTTCTTAATTCTTATTTGATGTACTAAAAGGCTAAATGGATACAATATAATTTATTGTATCTGAATCATATTTGCGGACTTAGAGTATGCCAGCTTATTTATTTCGGTCATGGTAACTTGATCTGGAAATGATTGAGGGAAGTGAATGGAAAACACATCCTGGAAAAGTTAGGGGAATGGTGAATGAGGAAGCACTTACAAACATTTGTCAAATGGTTAGAGAATCATGTGCAGAAGTGCTTAGAAAGTTGTGTGCAAGCTTGTGGGTATTGCTATGAAGCAAGCACGGAGCATGTGTAAAAGCATTTAGAAAACACATAAAATGGAGAATGGTTAGAAATATTTACAGAATACAGAATTGCCTTGTAGCGTTCCAAACTCGTATGCGAAATGGATGTAAAATGTGCAGGGGAAGCATGATCTCTTAGAGTTTGAGACCTCTCACTCTCTCTCTGAGACATGGAATCTCTGTTTCTCTGTCTCTATTCTCTTCGAGTCCTGTTCTATCCCTCTGTTATCCATCTATCTTCACTTCCTCTTTATCTTAGAGCCCTGGAATCTCTCCCTCTCTTCCTCACATACACACACCTCCCTACTCCCTTAGCATCATGTAGTGTCTTTCTCTTTCTCTCTGATTTACTCTCTCACTCTCTCAGTTATAGTCATGCTCTCTCTCTTTCTCTCAGTTATAGTCATGCTCTCTCTCTCTCTCTCTCTCTCTCTCTCTCTCTCTCTTTCTCTCAGTTACTGAATCTCTTCCTCTCTCTCAACAAAGGATCAAAAGAACAGCGTTTATGTGAAAATAAACCCATGATATAGGTAATGGACCAACCCATTAGAATTTATGAAGACATGGGTGGGTTGTAAAAACGGTCTTACAGGTTGCACAAAATGTCTGTTACAACTTACAAAACATATTTATGTCCAAACAGAATTAATGGGTGTCATTTTTCAAAATTTTAGCAACAGTGGCCCTTATATTTGAAAAGCCCTTATTTAAAAATGTTAGTATATGTAACTTTTGATGGTTTCTACGTGTTTCTCTAATTTTTCAGAAACATTTTCTTTGCATCTTTCATGTATTTTTCCAGATTGTTTCAGCTTCGAAAGTGTGTTTTCTCCTTTTGGCACTGTTTTAGTAATTTTTCCTAACTTTCCTTAATCGACAATATGCACTGATAGTTGGGGGCGATGGCGGTGGAAACTAGGTTAGTGTAGCTTTTGGCAATTACAAGAAGCCAATGTGGATACAATAGAGTTGCTTGTATGGGGTTGTTAGTGTGTGGTGGTGGTGAGGCCTTGCCGATACTCTTTCACTGAAAGGTATTTCAATTTGCATTTTTTAATACTGCTTTGATGTATCTCTGTCGATGATTTAAAGCTCTGAGTCACCTTGGGGCTCAGCCTGGTGCCAAGGTGGAATCCAATTGACTTGACTCAGTGAAGCCACCATAAGACTCAGTGAGTATATTGAGAAAAACGACAAATAATGATTTTACTCGGGCAAGTCTTTTTAGAAACCATGAGACTCATTCGGTTGCTGAATCAAGTCTGCAAGTTTTGAGTTGATTCATCGAGTATTAAAGCAATGGTGTTTGTAGTGCGGTATGCTATAAGCTTTGAAGTACTCTACTAGAAAGGAAGTTTTCTTTTACATTTATAAATGATAGTAATCATAAAGAATTTTGATCTCTAATGAATCTTTTCCTTCTTTTGAGACAGGCTTATCCACAAGAAAAGGTTGGCGTGTTTGTTCAGCGGGGCAAAGGTGGGCCTCTATCAGTTGTTGAATACAGTGAACTAGACCAATCAATGGCTTGTGCTATCAATCAGGGGACTGGACGACTTCGTTTTTGTTGGAGTAATGTATAGTCTCAAAATGCCCATTGGTGATGGTGTTGTCCTTTAGCTCTTAAAAATCCAGCATTATTTTATTTTCATACTAGTATGATATATTATGCTGAGATAGTGTTTAAATTACAGAATCACTTGGAGAATTGGTGAGTGCCTAGAGCGAATCAGCTCCGATTAGTCCCTAGTTGACTTACCCAGTCCTTCTTGAGTTGAATAAGAAAGCTCAAAAAAACCTGAAAGATGGGCAAAATCAGGAAATAAAAAATAAGGAAAAATCATAAAAACTAGAATTTTCATTTGATTTTGGATCTAGTTGATCCATAGCTCTTGAAATATTCAACCAAAGCCTGTTTTGATAGTTCAAGTCTTGCAAATCCAAAAATTTTAGTGTTTTGTTGCAAAAACTAAGCTTCATATTCCATACAGACCACAGAAATAGGCCCAAGGACAAATTTTCAGGGTTACTCAAGAGGGTCATGAAAAACAAGCAAGAGAAGGGGGTTGGCCAGACTCTATTGCAATATTACAAATCTCGCATACCTGAGATTTTGAATTTTGTTATTGTTTATTTGAATCTATGATTTGGATTCAATCGAGGATAGCAAAATATGGTTAAGGACCAATTTTCAAGGTGATTGGAGTTCTCAGTGACAAGAACAAGGTCCAATACCAATCATCATAGCCATTTTTTTTTAATGTGCAAATATTTGTAAATGTAAAGCATTTAAAACCTTATATTCATCAAAGAGTAACCAAATGGGAAGTTGCAAAATCTATTTACAACAAAACCAAGCTGATTGCATTCATGATGAACTAGTTCAGTAAGGCCACAAATCAGACAAATTACTAAGTATTGAAAGTTGGGAGTATTTTGAGGAAGGTTACATTGAGAAAGGTATATTTATGTAATTGTATGCTAATTGAAGAAAATATCACAAAATCACCCTAGTCATTGTTGGGACTCGAACGATTTGGCCTAAAGTAGGCTCCCTAGCAAGTTAGAAACTGGCTGGCTGCTGATCTGAGTATCTCGCCCAAGTCCAAATTGGACTCTGCGATTTCTTAATTACTCATCCTAGAGATTGAGGCATACAAACTTTTGATATTTTCTTCAATTAGTATATAGGTACATAGATATTGCTTTCTCAATGTAACCTTTCTCAAAATACTCCTAATTTTCAATACTAGTAGTTCATCTGATTTGGGGTTTTACCGAACTAGTTCATCATGAGTACAATCAGCTTGGTTTTGTATTAGATCGATTCTGCAACTTCCCATTTGGTTAGTTTTTGATGAATAAAAGGCTTTAAATGTTTTACATTCACAATTATTTGCACATTAACAGAAATGGCTCTGATGATTAGAATTGATGAATCCAATTTGGGGAAGAGAATACTCTCTATACCCAAGCCAATGCTGCATGGACATGGGTACATGTGTCAGTCTGATACAGGTCAGGTGTATTGGTTTCCTCATTGCATGATGAGGAGGATTCACATGACTATATTATGAAGAGACGATCAAATCCAACAATGTTCTACTAACATCAAAATTTCATGATGAGTAGCACAGAAATATTTTCTACCTTAATTGGCTGAATTCATAAATATTTCAAAATTCATGTGCCTACTCAAAACATAAAAGATCATGTTTCTAAAATGATGTCATCAATGGTTAATAACAAAAGGAAGAATCCAAAAGAATCTACATCTCTATGCACGTCAATATGTTTGACATGGGCATGACACCCATACAGAAAAATTCATGTAATGTAGACCCAACTGAATTAATTTTTGCTGCAAGGGGACTAAGATACACTTAGAGGGCTTTGCATTTTAAGAGGGAGGGAGGTTATGGATTGTTTTATGTAGTATATAGAATGTTTAATATGTCTATTATAATAAATGTTACATTCAGAAGTACCATATTATGTTTCCTAGATATATATTTTATGTTACCAGTGGCCAATACTCCATAATCGAAGGATGCTTATAAACGTTGATGAATATGAATATATTGATAGAACCAATATATTATATTTTATCTTTTATATTTTGTTTACTGGTATCTACTTCTGGGTGTTGCATCTTATTCTCTTTCGTCTATAATGTTGCATATCATTTTCAATTCGATATTCTGTTGCCTAACATATATTGGTCCACTCTCCATAACAGTATTGAGTTTCATCCTCTATGGTTACACACTGTGAATTGGCATTAAGTAACTTTTGCATGTGTTTTGTGTCTTCTTTCAGGTGTGCCTGCATATGTTTACTCTGGACTTTTTGAACCAAGTTGCAAATGGACTAGAAAAGGACAGCATGTTAGTATTCAGGGTTTCAATTTTTTCTCTTCTGATGGAAAAAGTGTTGAGCGTTCAGGGTTTACATTTGGTTCACTTGCATAGCTTTTCATGAACTTTGGATAGATCATTCTAACTATTATATGCGAAATATTTAGATCTAGAGTTTGTTCTTTGGAGCTCTTTTTCCAAGTATTGTTCTTCTGATAGTTATTTAAGTTGTAGACGTGCGTTTCCAAAATATCTAGAGTTATTTCTATGGTTTTCTCATAAAGGAAATTAAAGAAGCAAAAGTTCTATAATTTGCTTGCTAGAGTTAAGCTTAAAAGGATTTATTAATGGCTGATTCTTTGACACCTGAAAAGTGTCTTGACAATGCAGTTATCACCTGGCTGAGAAGAAAATCCCTTCAATTCATGGACATACCACTGGCTTAAAGTTAGAACAGTTCATATTTGATGCATTTGCTTATTCTCCTTCAACTGCCCTCTTTGAGGTTCGTGTTTCTTTGCATATGTATGCTTTTGTTAGATTGCCAATAGGAATTTGGATCGTCTTACCTTTTTTATTTTCATATATAAATTTGGTTGCACTAGGCTGTACGTGAAGAGGAGTTTGCGCCAGTTAAGAATGCTAATGGATCGAGTTATGACACTCCAGATAGCGCTCGACTGCTTGTCCTACGTCTACACACACGATGGGTTGTTGCTGCTGGCGGATTTCTGACACATTCTGTGCCCCTATATGCAACTGGTAACTTTTTTGATGGGATTGAGAAACTATTTGGGTTATCTTGGTCTCCACGGGCTAAAACTAAATTAAATATAAATAATTTGGACAATGAATGTGCTCTAGAGTCAAATGCCATGGTGGAAATAAAATTGATTGTATTGTCTGTATAGGGACTACAATCAAATGATATAATTTGGTTGTCTTTTTTCTCTTCTTTAGTAATTAACTGTACATTTAGTTGGTTCTTCTGGTCTCTATGGGGATTCTAGTCAAATGATATATCAAAAATTATTTGGGTATTCTCAGCCTTTATGGGAATTATAATCAGATATTATAATATAAGCTATTAGGGTTGTCGTAGACTCTCAGTCTTTATGCGAATTATCATCAAATGTTGGGATACGGATTTCGTCGTGCACCTACGCGATGGGCTGTCCACCCAAATCACTGCCATAAATGTGGTTTTCACGGTGTTTTTCTTTCTTTAAAAAACCAATTTGTAGGTTATTTATTTATTTTGGGATTGTCCACTGGCATGAAATGAGATGATTTACAAAGTTTGGGGGACGGGGGGAAGATCATTCGGATGGTTCTTGGCAGGTGGTGAACACTGTGTCACCCCAAGTGATGAGATCCTTATCCCAAATCTCATTAGAGATTGTTTGGGCTTTCTTGATCTGTATTGGATCACAACCAAATCGCACCTTTTCACCATCAGATTATATTATAAATTATTGGGATTTTCTTGGTCTCAATAGGTACTAAAGTTGAATGATATTTTGAAATGATTGGGTAGTCTTCATTTCCATGGGGATTTCAGGAGTGGAAATTTCGCCTCTTCTTTCATATGCTGGAGAAAATCTCGAAGCGATATGTCGGGCAAGAACATTTCATGCACCATGTGAAATTACATATTGAGCTTGGCAGTTCCATTTTCTGCCGCTCCTCATTTATCACCATATGAAGCCTTGCAGGTAAATTTGATTTCCATAGTTTTATTTCTTGAGTTTTTTCCTGTAATGAGTTTGGACTGGAAATATAATTTACTCCATTAACACATCCAGAATGAATCTTTTTCATTCCTTCACGAAATTAATGGTTATAATTTCGGTCACTATGGCAGGATGGGAAAGCGATTTCTTCTGAGTTCTAGTCTTCACTGATACCATGATGGATATATCACACATTGAGCGCATATGTTTGCAGACCTTTTCCCCTTCCTTCCAGCATATCCCGCACTCTGCCTCCGCCCCTTTCCAATGTAGGAATCAACTTTTATCTGCAGTTTCCTTATACATGCAGCTTTATATATATTTGTTGCAGTTTCTTCCCTTTTTCGATATTGGCAAATGTAAGTGCCTTGTGGATTCCACCGTCATCAGCTTTATGTTTTTTGTCTTTATATAATGCATCTAGAGGATGTCTGCGTGAATATCTCTCTCTCTCTCTCTCTCTCTCACACACACACACACTCCATGGGCCCTTTTTGTTGAGTTCCGCCTTCTCAACAAATCGTGGTAAGTTATTAGACTGAACAATATTCTAATATAACTTGTTGAAAAAAGCGAAAACTACAACATTCTTGTTGGGGTTGGGCTTCTCGACCTAGTAGTTGGACACTAACATGGAAACCTAAATGCCCAAAAGGATCTCCTAGTTTCGTTATTTCCATCAATTCAGAGTGGAGAAGGAAACAAAAAGGATATGGTTTTGCAAGAACGCATGATAGCAGTACTGCCTTTGTTTATGCTGAGGCCAGTCTTTGCGCGTTATATTGCATGAAGGCTTGGCCTATTTTTTTTTTTTTTCTCCACTTTTTTGATCTAGTGGAGAGAAGAATGATGAAATCTTGATTATAGCCCAAAAATTTGCTAGTACTTTTACACCTTTGAACATGAAACATCTATTGTTTGTTTGATACGTGACAAAGATCAAACGTGTTTTATGCAGGATTAGTAGATTTATGTGTGATGCACGTAGGTATGCAATGTGGGGAAGACAAATAGCAACATAATAAAAAGAGCTGTTTGCGAAATTGATGACATTTACCCTAAGAGCCAATGGAAGAATATTATTTTTTGACCAATGTTAACTAAGGTTTATTGAAATGAAAGGAGATTACAACGAAAGGATTACATGGGCAAAAGATATTAGGAGATTATCGGACGTTAAAGATTTGCATCCATAACGATCTCAGTTACCAAGGGATCCTCATCTCTCTCTTGCACTAGCTAATCATGGTCTTAATCACATGTTGTAAGTCACCTTCAACCACCAAAGCCGACCCCATGTTTTTAGCCTTAAAAATCTTCATTCCCTCAAGAAGGGCAAGAAACCCAAGTTTTTAGCCTTAAAAATTTTCAATCCCTCCAAAAGGGCTGAAGTTAGCGTCGTTAGCAGTTGTATCCCCAGCTGGCCCATCAAAGGAGAAGATAACCTTCCCATTCGAATCCCGCACCACCCCACCAAACCCAGCCAGCCGAGGATTAACCGAGGAGCTACAGTCACACCCCACCAAACCCAGCCAGCCCAGGATTAACCGAGGAGCTACGGTCAAAGTTGAGCTTTAAGTTACCCAGGGGCAGTGGAGTCCGATATGATTTCGGTCAACACCTCGTAAAATTCAAACGATAAAGATTATCAAAGTTCATAGATACATCTACTCCAGGCCCTTAGGTATAAGAAACGATAAAGATTATCGAAGTTCATAGATACATCTACTCCAGGCCCTTAGGTACAAGGGACAACCAGCACCAAGTGGTATGCTTGATTATGTTGAGAAGTCTATCAAATGGTAGACCGGGCCCCCTCAAGGGTTCTTATGTTCTTCTCTTTCCAAACCTCCCATAAGATTACAACTAAGGTAATCTTTATGTTCTCTTTACAAACCTCCCATAAAATTACAGCTAAGGTAATCTGGCACACCTTTGTTCCAACTTTTGGGAGATGAGGAAAATTAAAGTTGGTAGCCACACTAAGCACACTTTGAGGCATTGCCTAGGAAACCCCCACTCGAGCCATGAACCATGACCAAATCCTTGTTGCCACAGAACAATGTATAAAGAGATGGGCCCTTGGTTCACCATCCTCCTTGCATATCAAACATATATTTGGGAGGATCCTACTTCTCTTGATAAAATTATCCTTAGTCAAAGACTTATTTTGAGCAGCCAACCAAAGAAATACCTGGACTTTATGAGGGATAGGCCACTTCTAAAACGTGGCCACATGGAGTAAAGACCACCTAATCAGGTCATGAAAGAGAAGTCCGTAGAGAGACTTAACTAAGAATAGACCATCAGAATCAATACCCCAGACTACCTCACCCTCCACTCCCCTATGAATAACAACCTTATTGAGCAATTCCATGAGGGCAGAGTAGATAGAAATAGTTGTTTCATTTATCCTGTTGTAGCTCAAATTAATATTCCATACCACTCCATCTTCCCTAAATTCAACCAACTCAGAAATCTTGGCATCAGGCTGTGTTATTTTGTCAAACACATCCGGGAATACCCATATAAGAGGCATCTCCTTAACGCACCCCCAATCTAAACCCCAAGCCTATCCATTCCATATTTGTGAGCAAGGATTTGGAACCATAGATGACCTCTAAGGGTACTACGCCACCACTATTTGGATAACAGAGCTTGGTTAACCAACCCCACTCTTCTAATGCCTAGGTCACCTTCATTTTTAGGTGTGCAGACTCTATCCCATCACATAAAATGAAATTTCTTATTCTCAACATCCCCACATAAAATCTCTCATCATCTTCTCTATTTTTTTTACTAAAGAGGTCGGCATCTCCATAACAGATATTTGGTAGATAGGTAAATTTGCCAAGCATGACTGTAAAAAAGTTACTCTTCCTCCTCCTCCCGACGACAAGTATTTTGGTTTCCATATATCCAGTTTTACTTCGACTCTATGCAACACATAATCCCATACAGAGATAGATGCCCTCCCAACTGAAATAGGAATTCCCAAATAAATAAAAGAAAAAGAGCCGACTTTACACCCCAAAAGCATCAGCAAGTTCCTTCACCAACTCCTCTTTACAGTTAATACCAATAAGAGAGGTCTTATTGAAATTAACCTTGAGCCCCATTGCTACTTCACAATAGTTTAAAAAGCGAGCAATATTAGATACCTGATCAGCATTTGCTTGGCAAAATATCAATGTGTCATCGGCGTATTGGAGGTGAGAAACACTAAGGCCATTAGCTCCAACTTGAAAGCCCACAAAGTTACCTACATTCTCCATATTCTTTAACATCAGGCTAAAATGTTAAGCATAAATCGTGAAGAGAATAGAAGACAAGGGGTCACCTTGGTGAAGGCCCCTAGAGACCCCAAAAAAGCCTTTAGGGCTACCATCGATAAGAATAGAGAAGTGACGAATGACATACAACCAAATATCGAGCTTCTCCATCTTTCAGAGAAACCCATTTGTTTCAAGATTTCTAGTAAAATACCCCATTCAACCCTATCATAAACCTTCTCCATATCCAGTTTTATAATAACCCCTGATAATTGGCTAAGCACCCTAGAATGAATGCCCTATGCGACCAATACACTGTTCGAGATAAGGCGGTCTTGAATAAATGCTGATTGAGGACAAAAAATAATCAAAGGTAGAACTCCTTTTAGCCTTATTGCCAGAATTTTAGCAATGATTTTATAAGGGCTAGAGGAAATATTCTAATATAAAAAACTAAGCAAGAAAAGTTGAGTCATGCACGAAATCTGTAGGTATTATGATTTTAAATTAGAAAGATAAAAGATTTTATATCCCAGTGTTATAGTTAAAAAGAAAGACTGCATGTACTATGCTTTGATATGAGCATATGTACACTTATTCCCTTGGGCAGAAGGGCAACTTAGGAAGGTTTTGTTATTGAAAATTTTGGGAATCACCTAAAAATCACAAGAGAATTGTATTCCAAAGAAAAAAATTTGAATTTTGAGTTTCATAACACAAAGTTCTCACCCTTAAACAATTAGATGGTTTTTGCACCCTACTATTTGCCCCACATTCCCCCAAACACGTGAGCAAGAAGTGCCACAAATTGCCCTCCGTACAAAGTTTATTGCACATCCGTACAACACGCGCTCAACTCAATGCAGGCCATTCGCACAAAATCGTGCCGTTTTCTTGTGTGCAATTGTGGTGGCTTGTGCCCAATTGTGCACCCTACTATTTAAGGCAGATTCGACCAAACAGAGGGACAAGAAGTGCCACCAAATTGCCCTTCGTATGAAGTATAGTGCTCATGCACACCGCACGTGCTCAACTCGATGGGTGCGATTTGCGCCAAAACTGTGTCGCTTTTTTGTGCACAATTGCAGCGGCTTGTGCAAAATTGTGCACCCTACTATTTTCCTCATGTTCCCCCTAACACGTGCACAAGAAGTGCCACCAAATTGCCCTCCGTACGAAGATTAGTGTACATGCGCACCGTATACGCACAACTCAACGCATGCGTTTCACGTGAAAACTGTAATGTTTTTTTCAGCGCAATTGTGGCAGCTTGTGCACAATTATGCACCCTAGTATTTACCCCATGTTCCCTCAAATCCTTGCGCAAGAAGTGCTACCCCATTGCCCTCCGTACGAATTTTAGTGCACATGCATACCGCCCGCACACAACTCATCGCGTGCGATTCGCGTGATAAACGTTTTTTTTTTAGCGCAATTGTGTTTGCATGTGTACAATTGCGCACCCTACTATTTACCCGACGTTTCCCCAAACACTAGCACAAGAAGTGCCACCAAATTGCTCTCCGTACGAAGTTTAGTACACAAGTGCACCACGCGCGCTCAACTCAACGCGTGCGATTCGCGTGAAAACCATGCTGTTTTTTTACGCGCAATTGTGGCAGCTTATGCACAATTGTGCACCCTATTATTTGCCCCACATTCCCCCAAACACATGCGCAAGAAGTGCCATCAAATTTCCCTTCGTACGAAGTTTAGTGCACATACGCACCGCTTGCACTCAACTCAACGAGTGCGATTCCAGCGAAAACCATGCCATTTTTTTACAAGCAATTGTGGCGCCTTGTGCACAGTTGTGCACCATACTATTGCCACACGTTCCGCCTAACACGTACGTAAGAAGTGCCACCAAATTTCCCTCCGTACGAAGTTTATTGCACATGTGTACCGCGCTCGCTCAACAAAACGAGTGCGATTCGCTTGAAAACCATGCCGTTTATTTATGCGCAATTGCGCCGTCTTGTGCACAATTGTGTACCCTACTATTTACCCCACGTTCCTCCAAATCATTGCACAAGAAGTTCCACAAAATTGCCCTCCATACATAGTTTAGTGCACATGCGCATCATGCACACTCAACTCAATATGTGCGATTTACGCGAAAACCTTGTCATTTGTTTGCGCTCAAATGTGGCGGCTTGTGCAAAATTGTGCCACCTACTATTTGCCCCATGTTCCCCCAAACACGTGCGCAAAATGTTCCACCAAATTGCCCTCCGTACGAAGTTTAGTGCACATGCGCACAGCGCGCGCTCAGCTCAACGTGTGGGATTCATGTGAAAATTGTGTCGTTTTTTTGCTCGCAATTGTGGCGGCTTGTGCAAAATTGTGCCACCTACTATTTGCCCCATGTTCCCCCAAACACGTGCGCAAAACGTTCCACCAAATTGCCCTCCGTACGAAGTTTAGTGCACATACGCACCACGCGCGCTCAGCTTAACGTTTGGGATTCATGGGAAAACTGTGTCGTTTTTTTGCTCGCAATTGTGGCGGCTTGTGCACAATTGTACACCCTACTACTTGCCCTACGTTCCCCAAAACTTGTGCGCAAGAAGTGCTTGAGGCATTATTTTTTATATATATATATATATATATATATTATTTATATAATAACACTATTCGGATCAGGGGTTTGGGTTGGGTTTACAAGGACCGAAGCCTAGACCCAAATAGTGTCCGTGTCCAATATTTAGACCCGAACATGACCCGTTGGGTACAATTCCTAAACCCATACTCAGACCCAGATCGGGTTCGGAAGTTAGGTCCCGGGTTGGGTCCGGGTCCATTTTCACCCCATTTGTATCTCGTTCAGAACCGCCCGCCCACCGCATGGGTGCAAATTGCTCGAAGGCAAGCTTGAAGTTGGCTATACAGTATATTAAAAATGAATGTGACCTATGGATGTACATATCTAGAGAGAGGAAAAAGAGGTTGATTTCTCATATCTCTATAATTTTATTTTCTATTCTAATAACTAAGAGAAGATGACTACTTTAATCGTGTAATTTATTTCCATTCAAACTATGAAAAAAGGAATATTTTAGTTTCCATAAATCTCTCAAAGCATCTTAATTTTATGCATATGTATTCCCCAAAAACTTCAACTCAATATCTATCTATTCCCCAATACATGTAACTCAATTTTCATATATCAATTCCCCAATATATATATTCCCCAAAATCTTTAACTCAATATCTATCTATCTATTCCCCAATATACGTAACTCAATTTTCATATATCAATTCCCTAATATCTCCAACTCAATTATGGGCAGCAATGTATCTTTCCATGATATTTTTTCCTTGGATAGACACATGATTATAAATTTTAGGGAAAAAATTATTACATGTACTTCCTCTCTAATTGGGTACGTTTCTTTACAAAATTATAGAAGGAGATTCTTAGATAGAGAAATATGCTCAAATAACCAAAATCGATTT